CTATGAAGCCGGTTCGAGCCAGACTTGGCCTCTGCACCCACTGCTGTGAAATGTGCGGAAGGATTTGCTAATCATTGGCAAACTCCTGGCCGGTGGCTTGCGTAACTTGTCTGTGACGCACATATCCGCCCACTGCAAACTGGAGCACTGGCGTCGGATTTGACTGAGGGACTGCGCCTTAGGCTGGGTCGGGCTGGGCCTCCGGTGACCCAGCGTGGCGCGATGGCGGCACTCTTAGATGGCGACACACTTCTGCTGGCCCAGGCGCTGACGCTTCTCCGTGAGGCTCGGTGATGTGTGACACTGCTGGCCTGTGGTGACGTGCGGGGGTTCGGCTGCCGCAGACGCTGCTGGCGGGCATGAACAAATTCCTGTCGCAGCTGGAGATCACGTTCCGGAGAGATCCCAACAACTACAGGCCCAGGATCAACAAGATGCACTCGGTGAAGGTATGACAGACAGTACAGTCTGCCCGATGCATGGACGTTTGGATGCGCCCTCGGGGTTTTGTCTGGTGGCACAGTAAGGTCAGCCAATGTAGGCTCGCGTGGTCAGCCCAGCTGATGAATGTTGCGTGCTTCTCAGGCTTGTTGTCCTTCCAGGGCGCGTCATTGAAGTCGGCCGCCGATTTTCCAGTTGTTCAGAAAAAGTGCATCACATCCAGTCGTTTGCCGATACTGATACCGGCCCTTTCACTGCCGCGCTTGCCTGGACTGATATCCTCGCCTCTGCCCGCAGGACACCGAACAGAAGAAGGGTGGCAACTACTTCTTCCTGGAGGACTAGGTCTGCTCTGCTGACCGCGGTGCTGGGCTCACACTCGTACCGAAGCCACCCCTGATCTAACCTGACGTGACCTGACGTGACGTGACGTGACCTGACCTGCGGCTTCTGAAGCCCTGCACCGTCTGACGGCGCGCCGGTGGCGCAATACACAGATCAGGGGACGGCGTGTCTGGAGGTGACTGAGCTGCGCTGCGGGAGAGGGAGCGGACCGACCGCCTGGGACGGAGCGTGCCGCTCGGCTGGTCCGCCTGCCGGGCGGGCCAGCCGCGTGGCACGGAGGGCGGACCAGCCGCGTGGCACGGAAGGCGGACCAGCCGCTTGGCACGGAGGGCGGGCCAGCCGCGTGGCACGGAGGGCGGACCAGCCACTTGGCACGGAGGGCGGACCAACTGCGTGGCACGGAAGGCGGACCAGCCGCTTGGCACGGAGGGCGGGCCAGCCGCGTGGCACGGAGGGCGGACCAGCCGCGTGGCACGGAAGGCGGACCAACCGCTTGGCACGGAGGGCGGGCCAGCCGCGTGGCACGGAGGACGAACCTGACACTTGGCACGGAGGGTGGCGCCCGAGCGAGGTGCCCCAACACTCCGAAAGATGTTAGCGTACGGTCATCCGTTACACATCCCGCGCTGGAGGGTCCGTCATGACTGTTATCTAGCATGAGTATGGGTCCATGTTACCACGTTAGCTGTAATCGGCACTGTGTGGCGTATGCTCGGGTCTTCCCATGGACGTCATTGTTACACGGATAGTTACTTGTGCATTGTGGGGGCTGCAACCGAGCGGAAGACTGAAGGTTTTCCGCGCCGTCGGCTACCGTTTGCGCCATGCGGAAGTTGGTTACGAATGTGGGATGTGTTTGAACCAACAATGCACGTATTTTTGTAGTTGGCGCCCATTGACGTGTCGGATGTCAGGAGCCTGGCCTTTGATCTGGCGCTGCTGTTGGACCAACGCCACTTACAGTCGAAGCCTGGCCGAAAATGAGCCGGCTGAACCCCTTAGCGCAACACCGAGCTTGTCGACAAGTGCCCTGATCCACCGTCTTGACGGTTCTCCAGGGATTGGGCAATGGAATGCACAGGGCAGTTTCGAACTGTCTTGAGGCACTTGCCTGCGCTGTGCAAACGCGGCTCGACGTTATTCAGCCGGCGCTACGGCGCGAGGGCACCGTAACAGCGCAGTCGTGTGGAAGGCGGCAGGTGTATGCAGGAGTTTGCGGCGAGGGAGGGCCACAACTCAAATATTGGTATCGACAGCGTCGCAGTGCGAGGTTTATTGCATCGCACAAAATGGCACGTGTTCTTCATCCAGTTTGCAGTCCAGCTAGAGCATGCAATTGCCGACATGTGCCAGCGCACATAATGCATGTAGATTTTGTACGGAGAGGTTTCGTTCCCCCGGGGCTACTAAGCGAATACGTCCCTGCGGGGCGTTTAATTCGCGTTATGGTGCTTCACGGGTTCATCGGCGGCAACGCTATCTGAGAAGTGAACGTGAAGCTATACGAGCGCGCGTTAAGGATGTAAGCTTACGCCCCTTTGTATGCAAGTATGTTGCTTTGCAGCACGATCATGCTCTCGCGTTTTTTAAAATAATTACCGCATATAAAAAACAGGAAAGTTTTTGCCTGCGGGTAGACCAGAAGCCACCGGCGAGCGGCACCAAGAGAGAGAGAGAGAGAGAGTCCCAAAGTGCGAGGATACAGCATCACAAACTTCGTGTGGGAGTGATATCCAAAGCAAGGCACCTCAGAGTGCGCGGGTGTGCCACGTAACAGGATGCGTAATCAGCAATGTCCTTGACGTCATCGATGCTGGACAGGCCGACAGGATGCCGGACAATTGCCGACATGTGCCAGCGCGTAATGCATGTCGTAGATTTTGTACGGAGAGGTTTCGTTCCCCCGGGGCTACTAAGCGAATACGTCCCTGCGGGGCGTTTAATTCGCGTTATGGCGCTTCACGGGTTCATCGGTGGCAATGCTATCTAAGAAGTGAACATGAAGCTATACGAGCGCGCGTTAAGGATGTAAGCTTACGCCCCTTTGCATGCGAGTATGCTGATTTGCAGCAGGGTCATGCTCGTGTTTATTTAATAAGTTGGATAAATAATTATCGCATATTAAAAACAGAAAAGTTTTTGGCTGTGCGGGTAGACCACAAACCACCGGCGAGCGACACCGAGAGAGAGAGAGAGAGAGGGAGATGGGGAAAGAGAGAGAGAGAGAGAGAGAGAGAGAGAGAGAGAGAGAGAGAGAGAGAGAGAGAGAGAGAGAGAGAGTCCCAAGGCGCGAGGATTCAGCCCCACAAACTTCGTGTGGGAGTGATATCCAAAGCAAGACAACTCGGAGCGCACGGGTGTACCACGTAACAGGATGCGGTAATCAGCAATGTCCTTGGCGTCATCGATGCTGGACGGGCTGTCATGTGATGCAACGATTCAAAATAAGTACCTTGAACAATTCGAATGATGAATCGGATGGTTTATGCAGCCAATCACCCACACGCCGGCACCCTGGTTCGCCCACATTAGTTGTGCCTGCCTGCAGCATGGTGCCAATATCGCTTGAGCATGGATTTGGATGGCGCTGCTTTTGAAGCGCTCTTCGCAGATGTTTTCGTGTCATCTGGTGAGTTTTTGCTGTAAAAACAGTAGAACCCTGTGCTGACATCAGTAAAAGGTGGACCTTCCCAATGCATCTGGGAAAACTTGCATACTTATTTAGAAATGCATACATCTCCAAAGATTAAGCCTATCAGGCTAGTGCTTCGGTCGCGTGGGATCACATGCTATTCTCATTTTGTACCGAGCTATTCGTGGGTGTGGTGGTGGAATGAGGTGGTTCACCCCAGACCACTGGAGTTGACCCATCTTCAGAAAGCATAAAAGTGGGCTGCACGCCTCACTGCTAGTTAAGACGCCATCCTTTGCTCAGGAGCTGCGAAGCTGCTGGCCTACAAATGGCATCAGCTGGGGGCAGCTGGGACTTCTCATTGAAAGACATGTTATCTTTTATTTCAGCGTTTTGCTGCTCGCCCGCCAGCTTTGACAAGTTGTGAGGCGAAAGCATGCTTGTCGGACAAAGTTACTGGTTTCACATGTGCCGCCCGCAATTTTGAACGCATTGGCGTCTTGCCACGCCTGCGGTGACCTGGTCAAGTTGAACGTCGCGACCATACACGGATGATCATGGATCACTGATGCGGTGAGGGGCGACGGCTCGACGCTGGTGTTTCGCGGGCAGGGTATCGTGTGGCGTCGCGATTGATTCGTACAGAAACACAGAAACAGATGCTCTTTTGTGGCACGGTACTTGGGTTTTTAGGAGCGCGTCGACTGCAGCAGTCATTTTGCCCCCCCCCCCCCCCACACACACACTGTTCTGTTAAACCGCTCTTACTCACCAAACTTGAATGAGGCGCATCAAAGCAGGTGCCATACACAGTCACAAAACATTTAAAAGGACAGTTCATTGTATTAAAGGCTATTAGCTTCACAAATTACAAAAAAGGATCGTGGTTGGTCATAACTGCTGTCTTATGCAGTATTATCATACCTGCTTGTGAAACGAAGCTGGCGTGATGTCCGTTGACCTGCGTAGCGGTGAAGCTTCGGCGTGTGATCCAGGTGAAGTCGGCGCTTGGTTCCAACGATTTCGCTGCTCGGAAGGGTTTTGCTCAGGCAGACACGGTTTGAGGAGAAGCATTTATTGTCTACTGTTAACCACTGTACTACTGACAGGCGGCTGATATGGAGGGCAACCACTCCTCCACCTATCTCCTCCGAGCTGACACATGTGACAGAACTAGGAACTAAAAGCTTCAGCGGTCACAACAGGTGGAGGTATTGCGCCATGAAACAATTTAGCGCGTAACTGTTATTGCTTACCATATGGAAATTTCGGGGGCTATGGTGGTACACAGCTACAAAATGTACACAGTTTTTGATTGTCTTTGGCTGTCAACCGGCTGTTTGGGGAATCTAAAGCACTTTCAAGGAGAGTTGCGCCTCGGAGAATCCAGTGGTCAAGTGAACAATACATAACATTCAACGAACGGCGCCGACCGCGGCCACATCGAAACCGAAATGTGCATGCTAGGCGCCGCAGCGCGCCGGCGTGGGGCACGCCGTGGCGCGCGCGTCCAGCGCGCCGGCGCGAGGCACGCCGCAGCGCGCGCGTCCGGCGCGCCGGCGTGAGGCACGCCGCGGCGCCGGCGGCGTGAGAAAGGAATGTGTCAACACAAAATGCACGAGACTCCCGGGAGGTCCATTGGCACAAGCAGACATACTGGGAAACAGAACCGACGACAGACGCAAACATACGGGCGCGGCGGAGAACGGAGGACACACTGTTGTCCGACCGGAGGGTGGCAGCACAGGGCGGCCGAGTTGACCCGATTTATGATCCCTGATACGCCGGCGGCCCTTAACGCGCGCGTTGCCAGGGGCTCAGCCCCATCCCCGGCGGCAGCCGCCACGAGGCCGCGGCCCGCTCCTAAGCTCAAAGCGCGGCCCACCGAAGTCGAGGCCCCAAAACAACCATGCTAAAATACCAGCTCGGCAGCCGTCAGCCCGGCTGTCCCTGCCCTCACGCCCTCGCGTCCTAAGACGCCTCTGCACTGTCGAGCCGTACAAAAATGGTTGTCACAACGACACTAGTTATGGAGAGTTGCACTGGAGTGGGGCGCGGAGTCCGCCATGGCGGCGGACAGCCGCGCGGAGGGCTGGCCGGGAGATCCTATGGCATCAACACGCATCTCTGCAAGCTTTGTACTGGGTGTACCGACAGGGAGCTACTGCGGGCGGCCTCCGAGCGAGACGTACCGGCAGGCTTTCGGGAGGGTGGCTGATGACAGGCGAGTGGTAACACAAAAAACGCAAGGAAACTGCGCCTGCAAGCGGTGAGCTGACACGTGGCTCTCCGCAACGAAACCCGTAGGATGAGGTTGAACAACTGTACACAACATGCACACAGGTACAAAAACCCGCGGCGGCATTCCCCGGTGCGCACGCGCACCCGACAAACACAACTAACCCAAACAGAGCGGTGGCGGCGATTGTACATTGTACACGCACCTGAACGCCCCTCGAGAATACGTTTGATTTGAGACAGCGGAGGGCGAGAGAGCGTCCTTGCGCCGCAGTGGCGCCATCTACTGACGACCTGGCCACACGATAGCACACATCGACGCCGCTAGGCGGCAGTCCTCCGGGCCGCACCGGAGCGCGCCAGGTTGGTCACGGGCCGCGCCAGGCGCCGCGCCGCGTGGCCCCAGGTATTGCTGGGCCGGTGGGGCGTGCGGACTCATGCCGTCGCCGTCTCCGCCATCGTCTGGCCGCCGTCCGCGTACTCAGACTTGATCAGCGACATGCTCAGGTTCTGCGGAGCGCATTGCCTCGGTCACCGGTCGGCGTGTGTCGCTCATGCTTTGAACGGAGATGGAAGTGAGCGCGCTTGCTACGGTGATGCGCCAGAAGCAATCATCCATCATAAAAATGTTGGTCAGCACTAGCGCCTTTGGTTTCCCAACGGTTCAACGTGCATAGGCAACTTCGAACGTTGCGCACTTTATCCAGGCCGTCAGTTTTGTGTGCATCACATCACAGGCCAGAAAGAGTGGCACTGTAACGCGTAACACGATGAACGCCTGTACCCAAGACTCCCCCGTACCTCGGCGCGACTGATGGGGGGCGCCGCCGCTCCCTCGCGGGTGGCGCCACCGTCGCGCGAGTCCGGATCGGGACTGTGCGCCGCGTCATAGTCGGACTTGACCAGCGGCTGGCTGAACATGTCCATGGCTGGACCGCGGGAGTCCTGGTCCGGGCTGGGGCTGCAAACAGCGCGTAAACGGCCGGGTCAACATGCGCCGAGAATGCCGCAAGACGCAATCGCATACTGCGACAGGCCTGCAACAGTACTGTTTGTCTGATATAACCTGCCACCAGATCGATGGGAAGTCACTGACTTGAAGGGTCGCTGTATGGGCAATTTTAGTCCAATATGACGGTTTCCGCCGCCCGCTGTTGGCTGAAATGCAGAAAGGAACTGAACGTAAATAGCATAGGCACCTGCCATCTGTTAGCCCCGTGCTGTCTGGGCGGGGCACGTACCTGGCGTGCCGGTACTGTCTGGGGGACGGTGACCGCCGGTGCATGCCCAGCAGGGTCGGCGCCTCCCGCTCGCGCATCTCCCGCAGGCGGTCCGCGGCGTTCGTCATGAACGGCAGCGTGGAGTCCGCCAACGCCGACTGGGAAACGCCAGAAGCGGGTGGTGTTAGACGCGGCTAGAATACGAGGTCGAACACCCTCTAGGAATGTATACAATACACAACTGCGTTTGAACCAACCAACCGCTACGTTGGCCCCTCTCGGTGTTCCGAAACAAACTTAGCGGAGCGGAGACGATCACGCTGGTCCTACCTTCCCACGTATTTACCGGCTAAGGCCATTAACGTTGCCATCCCCCACGATGACAATGCGATGATGACAGCAATCACTGTCGCTTGGGGAGAACGGACGACCGTCTCCCATCAACCGGACGACCGTCTCCCATCAACCGTCAACAGGGCGAGCCCGGTTCGAAAACAGCGGCCCGTGAGAGGCGGCGGCGGCGGTCCGTCCCGGGTCTCGGGGGAGCCGTCCCGGCTGGCAGAGCGGCGGCGCACCTGTAGGCTGGCGTTGATGGCGTCCCCGTACAGTGTGGGACTGCTGGAGAGCGTGGGACTGCGCGCCTGCCTGCGGGACGGCCGATCAAGGTCAGTGCGCCCGCGCCAGCTGGCGGCTCCGCTGGCGCGCCCACCGCCTCACTCAATGGCAGCCCTGTCTCGTGGGAAGACGTCAGGTAACAAACTGGCTTACTCTTGTGTCGAAATCATTTCATCAACTGCGATTAGACTATGAGAACATTTTTGACATATTTACTCGAACTCGTGACTCGAAAATCTTAGCGTTGCAGTTTGACACTTTTTACTGTATTGACGTGTTTGTATATGAGAGACACCGGCGCCATATCCTACTGATGTTGATAAATTTGCAGCAATCAAAAGGATTATGATATTTATCTTGGCTGAGTGTAGAGTCACGCTGCTTAAAAGGAAGAAAGATGAGTTCATGCATGCGTGGCCTTTACATGAAAAGAATTTGGGTATTCTTCACGCACTAGCTAGGGACACTCACGAATATCATGCCAACACCGTGTTTGGAAGGGAAATACGTGCAGCAGAACAAATGCAGTAGGCCAAGTCAATATGACAAGGCAAAAATGGCTCTCCGATATGTGAATATATCGGTGACAACACACCACACGAGATGTTTCCGACAAAGCGCTTGGACAGTGCGTGGGACAAAAATGTGGTGCAAAAGAGGCAAGAAGAATCGACAGAGGATCAAGACGGTTGAGAATATGCGAGCTTTACCGAGTGTTTCATTTGGTTTGTCAGCTGTGCTTCCTTTCCAAACCTCATTGTTAGTAGCTATCGCTAACTGATTGCTATGCTAGTTGTTCACCCAACATAAGCGAGCGGGGGAAGGATTGGAAGTGTAGCTCAGTTAAAAACTGCTAACGACTTTCGAAACGTTTTAGAACACAAAAATCGCATCGAATAATGACTAGTTAATGTCTCTAACTGTCAAAAAACAAAAGAAGCAGACGGGAACGCACGCAACCAAACAAGCAAACAAAGTCTCGGGGCTCTGTGAGCTAACGTGGGAGCGGTTTCCTGACGCCCGAGCCGATCAAACCCCGCAGCTCGCTGGTACCAGGCAGCCAGGCGCGCCATTACTCGGCCCAGCAGCGACTGAGGCGGGGCTGGCGGCTGGCCCACGCGGCCGTTTTCGGTCCGTGAGGACGGTCTGTGCCGACTGAGCAGGGCGCCGCAGTGCGGCGGCGACTGGGAACGTTGGCTCACTGTGCCCGGGTGGCGGCGGCGGCGGCGGCGGCAGCGGTGGTTCGGCATGCGGGGAATGGGCGACGCTTACTCCTTGGCTGGGCCGAGCTCGAGTTTTCTGGGACGGCCTCGTGACAGATGGCGACGCTTGATGAACTCGGAATCATCGACCGTCCAGTACGAACCAAAGTCGTCTTCATACCTCACGAAACACTTGTGGAGGGAGAGGTTGGTGCGGATCGCGTTCTATGCAGGCAGTGGGAGTAGTAAGCCACAGAGTGTGAAAAAGCCCGAATAAAAACGGCGAGTGTCCTCCCGGCGGCAGGTCGACCTTAGCCACCTGGTAGCGATATCAGGCACCTCAGTTGGCCGATCTCATCTATAGGTGGCTGCCGTCGACGTGCCCTCGGGGAACAAAACCGCCTCAGACATACCCCGTTGACCTCTGCGGACGACGTTTGCAAAATTCCACTTCATCTACTGTCCACACGGCGCCCTTGACGTTTTCCACCCTGGTAAAACACTTGTGGAGGGACAGGTTGTGGCGGACTGCGTTCTACAAGACAAGACAAACAGAAAATCACCAGACGGCCGAGGCGAGATGAACAGAAAGTCACCAACGCTTTAACAACACAAACAAAGCTGACTACTAGGGGCGACGCCGGCCGTGGAGCTGAGGGGCCGTCTGCCACGACTTCCACCGCCGGTTAGCGCAAGGCTGTGGCTACTTAATGGCAGGTCGGCGCCCGTCGGCGTGTTTACATCATGCAGGCGCAGCCGACAGCTTTTCGTCACACCCACACATAACGCCAATCAAGACTCAACAAGCGCAGTTACCGGCTCCAGTCTTCTGAAAACGTTTGGCGAGTCCTATCGCTCAACAATGTCTGACACGAGTTCTGCTGGGGACGCCACTGGGATGCTATGTAAGGCCACCCACGACACTCCTAACGTCGGCTACTAGCTCTCTAAGCGCGACGCTGTGACATCCCTTCCATTCCAACTGCTCATGCTTTGTTCGCCAGTTTGGTGGCGGGTGCTCTGTTTTCAAAGCGGAGCCACCATTCCGACAACTACAGGCCAAACAATTATCAATGCAATGCACAATTTCCCGAATGAAAATGCGCGATTCATAACTGAACGATTAGCATTTATATTAGACCCAACAGAAAACACACACGCACGCATACACATCTGCAAACAAGGAGAGAATCGGCAGCCAGGTCCAATGGCCAGTAGTCGACGGCTGTTGACAGAGCCAAGCGACTTCCCTCGGCAAAATAAACGTCATAGGCAGTCGGTGAATCAATAAACGCGAACACACACACACACACACAGCGCGGCAAATGCTGCTCTATGCGAGCGACCGCAGATCGTTACCACCTCAAAGTGCTTCGCTCAGTAACCGACCCGATAATTCCTGACCACAATGCGAGCAACAGCGTCCTGACGTGACGTGGCTGTTGCCGGCCCCCGGCGGTCCAGTGCAGTGACTTGCCGCCGGTCCTCCAGCCCGGACAGAGCCTCACCTTCCAGGTGGCCGCGTTGCGGCGGAAATAGGCGAACGTGTTCTGGAACCAGCTATAGATCTCGTTCAGCGTCAGCTGCTTGTCCGGTGACTCCACAATCGCCTGGAACAACGCCACACACAGGTGCAAATCTTACAGACGGCCGGCGTTATATTTGTAATGGACCGTGAAGTGACTGGGACCAATCAACATACTACAATTGCACGTGTCTCTGCAAGATTCAGTCAGAGTGGCTTCATGGGGGTATCTTTCCTGTTGCGTCTGTGATAGTCCCTTGACGGGAAAGTGTTTCGTCAATGGAGCAGGTTGCAAGGAATATGGGAATACCATGCTTTGGCCTTAAGGTAATTGCATGCTCCTTCGAACGTTAAGTAGCTGCGAGCCTCTTCAGCAGATTGCGAGTCGCGTCGTTTCCGCGATGGCAACGTCTGACCGCTAACTGTTGTCGCAACTCACAAAGCAAGCAAACCGGCGCGTCGCGACGCCAGCCCTGCCGCGTCGGCCTCACCTGGCGGATCAGCGAGGCGTACGTGAACGGCGGCCGGATGTCCGTGCTGCGGTAGAAGTCGCGGTTACGACCGAGCTCTGGAAGAGTCGCAGCACCAGCGTCAGTCCCCAGGCCGGCGTCCAGCCCGCTGTCGCTCCCCACCGGGTTACGTGACACCGGCCTCGACCCGACCCGTGGACCGCGGCGTGAGTCGACGCGCATTGCCTCACGCTCAGTCGGGGCCAGGGGAAAGCGCGACGACAAACGGTCTCACAACATCCGGGAATTACGGATGCGTGCCACCATTTTTCCTTTCGAGCAAAACCGGCGAGTGGCATCGCGATGGATGATACGGAAGAATGCTAAATGTTGTAAAACAATTTATTTCGCCGTCTCATTTGCATAATCCCTTCTAAACTTTTCCTTCCCGTGGAACTTCTTTCTGTTTGTCCTGATTTTTGTTCACGCATCCAGATTTTTAATCAAAAGGAGATGACTATGTCATTTAAGGCTCGCGAGCAGGAAATGCTATTAAGTTCGAGAAGGGCGATTACTTAGTTATTGTCGCTTGACGATGAATTACGGTCATCCCTTGAGAATGTCCTGATTGCCTGAGTTCACCACTCGAGGACAGCAGAAGCAAATTAGCTTGATATAAACGATCTCGTTGCTTATTCAACAGCGCCTGCACTACGGTACTTTCATTTTCTGCTCGCTTTACATTACCAAAAAACATTTGTCCATCTTGTCTCCTTGGGACGCACTACACAGCTTATTCCCCACGGATAAAAAGACGACTGCATGAATAACATTTTAAGTTTTCTGAGGGCCAGGATGAAAAACTATCTAACGAGCAAACACAAATTTAACTAATCGCGAACTCTTTCATTTGCTCTGTGTGTTGATTCTCCGCGAGTTCCCCGAGGGCGTGGATCTTCATTTCCCCTTCATCACACATCCCGATTGAAATTCGCAATCTCGTACGCGCCCGGGAAAGACGGCCTGTGACGAGCTGTTACCCGAGGGCCATTTCAAGAGCCCGTGAGCTACAGTACGCACTGGCAGTACCCCATCGCTCCGGCAGGCACGAGCCGTGCGCCACGGCACGCGCGGGCAGTCCCCCGCTGGTACGACAGGCACGGGCTGCGCGCCACGGTGCGCATTGGTGGTGTCCCACCGACCCGATAGGCACGAAAGGACCGTAGCTCGAGGCGACCATCGGCGTTCAGCAGAGCCCCACCGCCAGGTCGAGGCCGAGACTGACCTTCTGTGATGTCCTGACCGGAGCGTTCGGCGGCTCGCCGCCTCTGCGCCGGTGACTCCTCGTACGGACCTGGGGCAGACACGGCGCCGTCCGTCAGCCCACGGCCGCGCGGGCCACACCCGTCACCACACCCCGAGCGCACCAAGACAGGCCGCAGGCCACACCCGCCGCCACACCCCGAGCACACCAAGACAGGCCGCGGGCCACACCCGCCACCACACCCCGAGCGCACCAAGACAGGCCGCCGGGTCTTGCGGCAGCCAGCAGCTTTTCAATCCACGCGCCGCCGCCAGCTGGCTCTGCGCAGTGCTGCATCCATCATATGGGAACTTTCGCGTGCCACGTTTTTACATAGTGCTATAATACGCTTATTCGCCATAAAGCCAAAATAAAAGACCGCCGTAATTATGGAACTATTACATAAACGGCATGGAGAGAACTGTCACCACTCACTGCCTTTTTCATTGCTGACAAATCAAACTTTTCAATCCGATCGACTGATTGACCGCGAAAACTGGGATGGACGGCAGAACAGGGCAGCGTGTGACCTGATGTCTATGTTTTATAAAGCAAGAAACGGGTAAGGCTGTGTTCTTGTAATCTCCCATCCTTGTAAGGTGCTGCGCGCCTATCAGCCTGAACAAGCGGGCTGCAGGCGAACGAAGGGTAAGTATAAGCGTAAAAAGGCCTTTGTTCAACGCTCACTTCAAAAGGAAAAACATGCGAATCTGATTTGACAACAACCGAAAACAGCTCCTAATTTCCTTCACACACAACAGATACAATCAAACCAATTTAGTATCTACAGGCCAAACAGCACCTGCCGCTTGTTTAACTCACTATTTTTGTTGTGAATCTTATCTGCTGTTTTGTACCGGTCGTTAAACTCCACAATACAGAGCTAAAATGCGCTTAGCAATGATTCCGCCTTTTAATCAGGGACTAAGCGAGGTGATTCACGCAAAACACTCATTAGGACAAGAAAACATCCCCTTAGACGAAAAACAGTCTCACTCCTGTATTTGCTATTGACCAAAGCGACAGTCTGCCTCCCCTTCCCTCGCCGCACCCTGTACGTACAGCTGGCGGACGCAGGTTCGCGGCGCGCGCCGTAGGTATGGCGACGGTCCGTACACATTCAAATGGCGGACTGCAAGCGGCGTGGGGCATGCAACCCGTTTGTCACTCCGGTCGCACGGTACGCCGGCGCGACTACACGCTACGGGAAGGTGCTGCGAAGGTCAGCCAAGCCTCACACACGCAACTGCGCTGCGCGCCGTCGCCTCATGGCGCCGGGTAAACGAGCTGGTCGCCTCAGCCCCACCCCAAAACTCGGCTTTATGGTTCGCTACCGTCTATGGAGAATCGTCCGGACTCAGGCATCACCAGCGAGATGTAATAACTTCAGCGCAGTGTAAAAACATAAGCGTGTGATTGCGCTACAGTCACATGCTTCACCGAATTATGCAACGAAATAGGTGAGGGAATAGAATGCTTTGGAAGCTGGAGGCGAGCAAATCAATAGTTTTCGCATTGGGTAATGCTAGCTGTGGTTTGCCACATTACAGGCATGCTACCTTGCCTTAGAAATGATGCTAGGTGCCCCTGCTGTTCTATTTGTAGTGTAATTTGCCTTCAGGCTGCCGGCGAACGGTAGGGGATGAGGCCGTATCAAATTGCAAAGCAACATCAGTAAAAATTGACGCAAACCATTAATAACTACACTTGTACAACATACAAGGCACAATATATGTGCTCCCACAAAAATGAAGATAAGCCACGGTAAAGGAAAGGTTGTTTTTATGGAATGTATTCAGATGCAGTGTCTTGATTAGAAAACTATCTTAAAATCGTCCAAACGCAGATTTCACAATGCTCTCGACACACACAAACAAGAGCCAACATGTGGACTTTGCTTCCTTGAAGCCGAGCCAAGTAATGACGGGCGCTAACGCGGACGCAGTACATCCGTGACGCTCGGCTTTGAGAAAACAGCGAACAAAACCAAGGCCAAACGGATGACGAGCAAATCAGTACGTGGATCAAAGCAGTTCAGACACCCACCATTTTCCTCTCGGAGAAGGTACGGATCTCCCTCGAACTACTCAATCGACCTGACCAGAAGCAAAAGCTCCCCCGTGCGATCGCAGGCGGTGGGTGGCCACGCGTGCCCCCCCCCCCTCCCCCCCCGGCGACTGCAGCGGCCAGCGCACAGTCGTGCCGCGGCGCAGTTTGTGTTTACCGCCGTTACGCGGCGGCGGCGGTCAACGCGCCGCCCGCTGTTCAATTATTGAGCCGGCCGCGGGGGCAGCGAGCCGACTCATGGCAGGCGCCGCGGGCTAACGGCCCCCGGGCGCCCCCAGCGGCTGTGACGTCACGGCCGGCCGGGCCGCCGACAGTGGCGGCGCTGTACCGCGGCCGCCGACGCGCCGGTGAACTATCCCGCCCTGGCCGGACAAAGCACGCGAGAGGATACAGCGGCTCGGGAGCCTGGCCCTCACTGCCGGCAAAGTGTAAATGTCCAGGAAGTGAGCGATCAAGAACCGCCTATGGACTTCGCAATATATTTATAAGTAAGGAGTACCGAACGATTGCGTTTTCGACCTGTAGTATAAGGAGTACACTGACGCTGCCGGGCAGGTCGACACCTTCAATCTTGCACCACTGGGATATCACATAATACTGCAAACCTCGAACAGCTATGTCTGGACAAAAAGGAGTCATGTTAATAAATCAAAACTCGAGCCGTCCGGCATAACGTACCGTGGGAGGCAGCGAAGCATTTTGATACCTAGGGCGTGTTGATATAGAGCCCGCCGCCGCTGAACCAAACCACGAGAGGCCTCGTCAACCGATTATGTGCATGAGTGTTGCCTTAGCAACCAACTGGTGTGTGCTTCTGGAGAGTGATCAGTCGCTGCAGAGAGTTGCAGCACAGAGGCCGCTTTTAGGTGAAATAAGATGAGAACAGTATAAGAGCGCACCGCTTTAATCGGAAATTTGGATGGGGTTTTTGGATGCACTGACTGCATAGGTCATATTACGGCGCAAAATATACAAAAATGCATTCATTCGATACAGTCTTTTTCGTCATTTCGGAAAAAAATATTTATACTGTTTTCTCGTCCCGTGGATATTGGCGGGAATCCTAGCATCGCAAACGAATGGCAGCAGCCGCGCAACACAACCGTAGTGATAAAACGTCCCGTCCGTTTACGATGCGTTCTAGTGTCTACATCCGTTGTGGCATACGCCATAATTTGGTAGATATGTGGGTAGGTGTGTAGGCACGCCAATACATTAATCAGTAGGTGCAGTAGTCAAACATCCCGAAAGCGTACTAATCTTACATACGATTCTGCTTCGACGACCTCATCTCGCAAGCCCTTTTCGCAATTTGTGAGAAGAGGGCCATGGAGCTCAGCAGCCGAGCAGCGATCAGTTCCAAGACAGGCTGCCGAGTTCGAAGTTCCAAGAGAGAATTCGAAGTTCCAAGACATGCTGCCGAGCAGGAAACAGTTCCAAGACATACTGCCGGGCAGGAAACCGTCCAAAGATTAGGACTGAAGCTAGCTCAGAAGCTTGCATGACGTCTACGATCTGCTGCTGCAAGGTTCCTCACTCCGACAGGCTGAAGCGGAGCTGAAGCTGTAGCGGCTGACGTGGAGAAAAAGGGGAGCACAGCAGCGTCGTTCAACGATGTGGTGAAGCACTGCGACCGAGAGCACCTCCCGGTAATCTTTCAGCTGCTCCGGTTCGCTGCGTACCACTCGATGTCCACCGCCGCAGCAGAGCACCCAGCGGAGCGCCGACAGGCTCTGGTCGGCTCGCGCCGAGCGTAATGCCAACAGGCTTTGGTCACCTAGCGCCCAGTGGAGCGCCGACAGGTTCTGTTCGGCTCGCGCCGAGCGTAATGCCAACAGGCTCTGGTCACCTAGCGCCCAGTGGAGCACCGACAGGCTCTGGTCGGCTCGCGCCGAGTGTAATGCCAACACGGTCTGGTCACCTAGCGCCCAGCGGAGCGCCGACAGGTTCTGGGCAGACCGCGTCCGGCGAAGCGCCGACAGGCTCTGGTCTGACATTGTCCGGCGGAGCAGAGGGCTCTACAGCACAAGATGCACGTCAGTGTCGTCGGCGACTTCAGCAGCCGGCATCGATCGGCGATCGGCCAGGGACTTCCGGCATTGTTATCACACCGGAGGCAATCAAGTCCTTCCCAAAAGTGCAGCCACGAACACAGAAGCCAGCATCAGGGGAAAAAAGAGAAGGTTTGGAATTTTGACAGACACTCCCCTTCGAGACAAGCTTGACGAGTATGACATGAAATCGGCGAAGGGAAGGAAGAAAATCAGAAAGTCAAAATGCAAAATGCTGGGAGGACAGCGACTTAAAAAGGAACATGGACGCCTTTTGTTTTTTATGCAGCGTGAGATATTCCTATTCATGTGAGCAGTGGATTGAATGCCAAAGATGCAGGAAAGAGGCATGCGCACTGTGTGCCGATATAGAAGCCGACCGACTGGGTGTTGGTGTAATTTTTGTCGTGATGAGAGCGGGAAGGGAGAAGAGGAGTTGTGCCAATGCAGCTATCAACAACTGTCGTTGCCTTTCTCGGCTATGGCTGTGCGGAGCACCTCATTATTGTTCTCGGTTTTGAAGCGACTTCATTTTCCTTTTTCTAAAAATATATATGCTGTGTTTTACAATTTCTTTTGACTTCTGGACGGAGCGTAACAACCAGACCCGCGCAGTGTAGCGTGCCTGGTTTAAGGGACTTCTTGATAAACACCACTTAACTGTGCATTTCGCTCTCCCCCATTTCACATTGAGAGGCGTAACAGAAAGGTTGTAATGGCTAAAAGCCGGTAAGATTTCCTTTGGGTTGTCACGCCTTGAGGGTGACACCATTTAAAATAAGACAGGTGTAACTAAAACCGAGCATTGGCGATTACAGCAAAATTCGTATCAACGTGCCTCACCCTCACCTGCAAGCCGGCACATTCAACCTGCCCCCGCTTACCCGCAGCTAAGCTTAAGTGCTTCTGCTTAATTGCTGGGAGGCACACAAACGTGGTGAACATAGTGGAAAGCATTGCACTTTCATACACGCCTGGAACGTAACTCATGCCGTGAATACCATGGCTAAGTTGTGGCCCCGCAGGGATTGCCGGAGCGCTTCAATGCGATGCGATCCGGCAGGCGGGGTGTGAGACCGGGCGCATCGAGCCCGACCGAATTCCGGTCCTCCGGCCACCGCCTTTGCCATCTTCACCCCGATAAATGATCGCCGGCCCGAGCTGAACTGATCCCCCGGTCCGCCTCCGACCAGGGGACGGCTACCATCGTGACTTGGTGCCCCAGCTGACCGCGTTACCTCTCTCCGCACAGCGACCAATCCGCGACGCCTCCAGGAAGACGGACACACAGCAGGGTCCTGGTCTGACTGCCTGCCCGCCGCGCCGCCGCCGCGCGCTGCCTGCCGCCTACTTGTTAGGCTATTTTCAGCAAACAAAGAGCACAACAACAACAAATCAATACGGCCCGGTCGTCAAAACAGTGCGTCATAGCGCGCGGAGAGAGGGCGCGAGCGAGCGCGGGCAGAGGGCGGGCGGGACGCACGCCTGAGCGGGCGAGCCGGCGCCGCGCGGCGCGCAGCCGCGCGGGCCGCCAGCCGCGGCGACTCTTAGCATGCGCTGGCACGCACTGGGCGGCCGCTGAAGCAGCAGCTCAGCTGCTCCAGTGCAGGGATGCCTTACAGAGGCGGAAGCCGACTCCATGCCGAGTAGCGCGTAAAGTTTCTAGCATTTGGTGCGCGGACGGCGGGGTTGACGCGCACATGGGAGATCGTGTTTAATCAATATCCAGTGCAGTCGTGCAGCTCGGCGAGCACCGGCAATTCAATTAAAGCAGCTACCGCAAAACAGTGCAGTGCAGTGTTGCTCCACTTCGACAGCGGGGCGGGCTTGACCGGGCTCTCCAGTCCGGCCCACGCTTCAGCCTGCTGTTTGTGTTATTCGTGCGCAGACATTGCCTGACGTCCGTGTTATTCCCGCCAGAGTGCATGTTTACTTAAAATATAATTCAGCGGTCGGGCAGTATGCATCAGTCTTTGTGTTGTGTTTTGTTCCGGCATACGGCCAACAACACAGGAGCGTGTTTTGCAGCCCGCCTGGGCGGCAGCATTAAATATGCACCGACAGCCCGGATAGTAATGAGTTTAGCTTTCCGAGTTCATAATAATCGCGCAAGTAGGGGCAGTAATGCGGTGGGCCTGTTTGCATGCACTCGTCGCGGGCACAACAAGGTATCAGATAAGCGCCGCACCGATCGGAGTATTGATCCACAAGCACGAATTTTCCGGGACTTAGAGAGGCTCCAAGAAAAACAGGCGGACAGACAACAGCACAACCAAAGAGCAGCTTGCGTGGGCGGCACAGCCGGTGGCGGCAGCCGGCTACAGTGGGAAAGGAGCGGCATCAGGCTCAGCCAGGCTGCAGTGGCGGGGGACGACAGCCGTGTGGTGCGCGTCACGGCAGCCCGCCCCGGCTGACGCCGCCAGCACTGATCGCCGAGCGGCGTGACTTGATCGTTTAAGTGTAACAAACGCCGTGCCGGTCCAAAGTCAACACGAAATAAAATGTGACCAACAACATATAGCGGGTAAAAATTCCTTGTCGCACCCGTCGGCGCGTCTCCACAGGTGACCGAGGTGTCGGTACTCACTGGAGGTCATGGGCTTGTCGTTGACGCGGCGCCGGCTGGGCCCGATGCTGGCCGGCGCAGGTGCGTGCAGCATGGCCGTGCGCAGGAACGGATTGCCCGACAGCAGCTGACTGGGCGGCGTCGTCGTCGGGAACATGGCCGCGCTCACCTGCGGTAAGCTCGGCGCCATCTGTGAAGGGTCCGGTCCGGTCTGAGCGCAGCCAGCAGGTACGCGGTAGCTAGGTGCGCACGTACCCTCTCCCCAACTTGTAGAAATGGAAAGCGTCTGCCATGGAAAGCAAAAAAGCCATTGTTATCGCTAGCGCATGGATCTCCGGCATCCGACGCGAAGCGCTGCCTCGTTATCCAAAAGGGGCGGCACATATCCTAAAATAGATGCATGCATGCAATAGTTGGTACCCTGGGGGCGTGGTGGGCTCACCGGCGGGTCTGTCTTCACCTCCTCCATACGCTCGCGTGTCATGTGGAGATGCGCCATCATGGCCGAAAGGCGTGCCTTTTCCTTGGCCAAGTTGGTCTCCATCTGCTGCACCACCTGCATCTGGACGCGCACGTGCGCCGTCGATCGGTCATCAAGCCGGTGCTCTGTATTCAGGTGCCTGCGGAGGCGGGCGGGGGCGTGATGTCAGCACGGCGTCTCAGGTCCGGCCTGAGGTCGCAGGCGCGGCGGACTTGTGGCCAAGCGAGGCGCGGGGGGCCAACGCAGGGCGGGGTACGGGCAGAGCAACAGGGTTAAATATGATATAACCAACCAACCCCCACGGATAACCAACCAGCGGAAAGGCGGCGCGGTGGCCGGTGCAGGCTGCAATTGTCTAATGAAAACTCCGTCGGTTTTACGAAATGTCACCACTGTTGAGGCGTCGCGTCGCGGGTGGGAGGCGGATGGACGCGACAAGCTTCTAACAATGTTTGCCAAGGTTGCGGCGCAGTCACTGAATCTACCCACGCAACGCACCACTGCCAGCGAGATGATGAGAGACCATGGCCTATCCGGACAGCAACAGCGCGGCCCCACTCCGGAGTGTCTCCCGCTCTCCCAGGGCACTCACTTGACGAAGGCCGGCCGGTCTGGGCACGAAGTCTCGCAGCCGGGCCAGTTGCAGATGCCGTTGGAGAAGAGCGGGCCCGTCTTGGCGGCCGCCTCGTCGTCGTCGGCGGCCGACGCGTGCCGCTCGTCGTCGCCGCCGTTGCGGCCGTCCCAGCGGCCGTTGGTGAGGGCCGGGAGCAGGCCGTTGGCGGCGCTAAGCGGCTGCAGCGGAGGCGGCGAGCGGCTGGTGCTGTACGGCGGCGACGAGCCGTCGGAGCGCCGGTCGCTCGTCTTGTCCCAGTGCGCCGCCGCCGTCGGCTCGCTGGTGGCCAGGCCTGCGGACGACGGGGCGGTGGTCAGCGGCACGGCACGGACTCCCCTGGCGAGGCAGCGGCGTGAGGACAGGCGTGACCCACACCGCTGGGACGCCGCTGGTGACTGGCGAGGCGGCCAGCTGTGTCGTGGTGTCGTCGGACTACGCTGTACAGCGACAGCAGCCTGTTGTAGGCTTCATGATTTGCGTTCGATTGTTAGTATGTCCAAGCCTTCCGTGATCGGTTTCGCTCGCTATTTTGACTCCCATTGCGGCGATGTCACGTGCAGGGCAATCATCCTTGCAAGTGATGTGTCGCCAATTTTGGGGCGAGGGTCATCGGAATAGTATAGGACGCGGAACGTATTGAGCCCGCGCCCAAACACTGCCATCTAACGACTCAATCCAGGCCAGGTTTTTGGAGGGCGTTTTATGCTGCCTGGACATGGCACATGGCGTGGGCCCACGTGGCACGTGAGTATTGCGTTAGCGCACGATATTGTGCCAGTGGATGGTCGATTCCGCTGCCACAACGCCCGCGGCCACGGCAAACGACCAAATATTTTGCACTAAAATGGTGGTCCGGCAGCTGACCAAGTCAAGCCCAAGGAGAGGAGTTGCTGGGCCGAGACAGCAGTGCCAAGTGCGGGTTCTCAGGGGTCAAAGGTGAGGACCCGAAGATTCGAGGCCCGGTTTGCATTCCGCTCGTCAACTGGCAGCAAGTCAGCAACCATCGGAGGCGGGCACACTAATGACATGGACAGCGAACAGGCACAGTTGCTCGCGTTCTGAAACGATCCAGCATGCATACTGAATGCTCGTGGGTTGACCCCAAGGCTAGCGACTCAACGGTGTTTGTTCCTCCCTTTCACGAGCGGCCTGCCGCGCCGACCTGTACAGTTCCATTCACAAGCGAACGTACATGGAAATGGCCGCGAGTAAATAGACACACGCACGTACAGGCGCGCACACACAAGCACAGGACGCCCTAATCGTTCGGCGGCTTCATAGCTGAGCAGGTCGATAGGAAGGACGCGTTTCCACGCCACTTCATGACCACAACACATAACGCCGCCACCGGCGACTGCACTCGTGATCGCCGTGCGCCGTGTAATGCGCGCCGCTGCATCGCTTCGCCGGCACCAACGCCGCGCCATTTCATTCCAATCCCGCGTTGCAAAATCCGCCCGAGCCCGGCGCGCCAGAAAGCCACCGTCGCGGCGTTGCAGCGCTGCAGGGTGGCATTGCGTCAGCGGCCGGCGCGCGGCCGGCAGCGATCTCAGGCATTCGAGACAAACAAGCCGCGCGGCCGCGCGCCGCTTGTTGGTGTTTGTTCCGACCCAATGCGCAGATGGCGGCGCGCGCGCGGGCCTTATCAGGGGGGCGGCTCCCGCTACTCCAGCCAGGCCACATGGCCCTGTTGACCGCCGGCCGTATCGGCGCCGGCGCCAAATGTCCAGAGTGATTGCTTAGCGTAGTCTATCAGAGCCGGGCACGTGGGGGCAGGGGGGGGGGGGGCGCACTTAGCGATCGCCGGCTGCCATGGTACACACATCTTCACCTCCCATGTAACACATGCACTCAACGGGGCAAACACATACATTCTCTTGCACACAAATGCGCAGGATACGGCGTATAGCAGCCAGACAACATAATTTGGCGCAGGTAGCGCTGTGGAAGTGGTTGCCAGCAAAATAGGCCAATACGTCCGCAACGCAAGCTGCTGATTGCGCCACTTGATGATGAAATATTAACAATGAAAAACACAGTACAATATAACAAGGCCCCGCCAGAAGCATGAAGCCAGAGGAGCGACCAATCAATCGCTCAGTTACATGACACCGCAATTGGAGTCGACCAGAGACCAGTTCTGCAATCACATCGATCGACGCCACATCCCCCGTGAGAGCCACTGGCAAGCGGTGGCAATGTGTTTTGCAGGGCGTTGCCAGGGATACGAAGCATCTACGAGCATTAAGAAACAATAGCAAAATCCCCGGCCGCCTTCGGTGGCGTTGTGCGGCGAACTGAGCCGCACGCAAGGCTAAAATAGGTTCCCTGGCCGATGAACAAAAGGCAACAGAGCGCGGTGCGTCTTAAAGGGAGTGTCTCACCTGCGAGACGTATTTCGAAAAAGTGTTCTAATGAAACCTCAGTACTAGTTAGTCTTATAATAGCACTAGATCGTGCCGCTACATCACCGTCGAGACACAATAAGGATGTTTGTTTTGTTTATTTTCTATTCCAAATGACGCCGACAGCGTCTTGTAACAGCGAGTGTTTCAAGCTTTCGTATTGCACGAACCTTTTGACGCATCATTGTGCGGAAAGCATCACAGAATATGTATGCAGAAAACAAGGCCAATAAAATACATTACTTTAATAAGGGTGAGCAGGAAGCCAACTGAGAGTTCTATCGCAGGGTTGGCTACTTCACAACGAAATGCTGAGCTGTTCAGAAGAACTTCGAGAAAACTGGTTCTACAGATCACATCGCACGCATCTGATGTAATAGTGGGTGAAAAGGTGCAATGCTCCATTTAAGTGTCCTTCACACAGCTGCCCTCGAGTCCGACGATGACGCGGAATTGACTGGCCCGTAGGACCGGTATGATAGGCATGGATGCGTGAGCATGAGCGGGATCGACGACCAAAAACAACAGCAAATGATGTTCCCCCATGCAGCAAAATGATATGATGCATGCATTTGCAACAATTGTGCAAGTGCAACTTTGAGACGATGGACACGGAGGGTGTGCCGAACAAGTTTAAGGATTTGTGGCAACCGGAGACAGGCGCCTCTTCAGATCGGCCCACGATGACATCATCTCCAGCGCCTGCGGCGCGAGGCAGTGCCTGTCGTCGACTCACTGAGCACTGCTTGTCGCACGTCTCGTTCGGAGCACGTGCCACCCTCCGCCGCCGCGTTCGACCGCGCCGCCACGTGCCGCGGCGGCCGCGCCGTCGGGGCACGCGCCGACCCCGGCAGGTGGCCGCCGCCGCCAGCGTCGACGTCGACGACCCCAGCGGCAGACAGAGCGTCGGCGTCGGCGCAGCGGCCGGCCCGGCTTTGTAGCGGGCGGCAGACGGCCGCTCTAATTATAGCCCGCAGCTCGCACCTTTAAAGCGGCCGCGACCGTCTATTGATCACGGCTCGGCCGCCGAGTGGCCATCGAAGCGACGACCGCGGTCGCGCCGCCCCGCTCCCCGCGCCGGAGCACTGGAGGGCCAGTTAAGGGTCAGTCCTGGGGTCAGAGGATGGGAGGGCCGGACCGGGCCGGGGCGGAGTCGACCCCGCGCCGGGCGGCCGAATACATCTGCCCGAGGTCAAGTGCACCGGCACGCCGATCAGGACTCGGAGCGAGGTCACGGGGCTTTCAGGATAGCGTGGAGCCGGGCTGAGATCGCACGCTGCTTGACGCCTGACTGCGGCGGGTGGGGAATAGGATGCGAGCCCGGCCTCAGGCCGCGGCCAGGTGCACTGACGGGCCCTTTTCGGCCAGGCGCACTGACGGGCCCTTCTGGAGCCAGTCTCTGACGCGCGAGCCCGGCGGCCGGTCCTCGCCCCGAGCCCGGTGCCCGGCGGCGCCCGGCGGCGTCCGGCGGCCGGTGCCGTGCCGGGATCGATCTGACAGCGGTGGCGGCCGTGCGGCACGGCTCATGAGAGGCCGGCTGGGGCGGCCCGCTGTGTCAACAGAGCGTCCGGCCGGCCCGGCTCAGCCAGCGCATGGCCGACGACGCTGGCTCTACGCTCGCCGCCAGCGCTTCTCTTGCGAACAGTCAGCGTGTGGGGCAGCTGTGACCCGCTAGTCTTGGCACAGAACGCTGTGCATCGTTGAAGACCGCCAAGGCGCACACGGAAAGGATGACGTCAGACCAACCGCTAAAAATTTCGTGCGTCACACATGGTAATGTGAGAGATGCGCTGGGACAGTGCACCACAATATTCGTGATGCACCGAGGAACACGACACTCGAGCAGTGCCGGAGGTTGATGCAGTATGACAAATGTATCACAAACACACGCTGCAATCTCTGCAACTAGACGTGCGCACTCGTTTCCAACAGAAATACTGAGCTTCTTTATACATTCCGCCACAGCTTAAAAACGCTATACATCAGCATGCCGCAGCGTCCAAGAAACGACCACACCGTTCACGGTCAGCACAACAGCACCCATCTGCGACCATCTCATCTCATCGCCCGTCAGCGCACGGTGGTACAACACCCTTCGCAATCGGCACGATCTGCAGGCTGGCTGACTGACCTGTGGACGTCACCGGCTGTCCCATGCCGGCCTGGTGCAGCAGATACCGCTGCTGCAGCATCTGCATCTGCTGCATCAGGTGCGAGTGGTGCAGCGACAGCGCCGCGGACTTGCCCTTGTCGTGCGCCACCTGCAGGCGTTCGGTCAGGTCAGTTAAAGGCGGAGAGGCCCGGCGGGCCACGCCAGGTCGGTGTAACGGGTTGAACAGAGTAGGCACCACGCACGGGATCAGCACAGCGCAGCGACAGGTGAGGCTGGCCACCGTTCTTCTGTGGGGACTGAGCTCAAGGCTAACGAAAAAAGGCCGAGGCCAGCAGCAGCTCCAGCAGCGCCGGCGGTGAGAAGCATGTGGAGAGCCTGTCCTGGCCTGATTTAGATCTCTTATAGCCCGCCGTAAACGGCCGCTCCCTGTCAAGTGTAAAGCATGCGACCAGGGGCGCAGCTTGCAAAATGAGTCGGGAGAAGGGGGCTGAACAGTGAGAAATACAAAAACCGACCCCAAAATATACCGACAAACGAGTTTTTCCCGTAATTAGCCCGCTTTCTTCTCGCAGTTTGGGAAGTCTGGATTCCAAGTTCGGGGATGGAGGGAGGCGGTAGCGATGCGAGGGGGGCTGAAGCCCCCTAACTGAATAGGAAGGTACACCCCTACATGCGACGGACGGACATTTCTGACGGCTGGTCTGGCCCCACCCGGCCCCGCTTCACCCCGCTCCGCCCCGCCCCGCCCCGCCTCGCCCCGCCTCGCCCGCCCGCCCGCCCCTCCCCGCCCCGCCCCGCCCCGCCTGCGCAGCTTATGTCGGCGAGACGCTCGCCTCACCGCCGGCGTGCAGGATTCTGTTGGCAAAACAGAAACCGGCGGTGCACGGGTACCTGCGCCGCTCGTCCCGGCACCAACCGCAACACACAAACAACGTCGCTGGAGAGCGAGACGGGCGCGAGGCGCGGGCGCCGTCTCGGCCCGTCGCCGTCGTCACCCGGCTCTCACCTGGTTCTGCTGGTACATGGTTATCTGGAGCTGCTCCTGAAGCTGCCGCACAGCGTCCTCGGTCTGTTTCTTGTTCAGCTCGGCCAGCTGGTGGTGCTGCGGGCAAAGCGGCCATACAGTAATGAGCAGCGGCGAGACCATTGGAGCACCGACCGTGCCACCTTGGAAAATGGTGTAAAAGAGTGAGGGCGAGAGAGAGAGAGAGAGAGAGAGAGAGAGAGAGAGAGAGAGAGAGAGAGAGAGAGAAGAGAGAGAGAGAGAGAGAGAGAGAGAGAGAGAGAGAGAGAGAGAGAGAGAGAGAGAGAGAGAGAGAGAGAGGAGAGAGAGAGAGAGAGAGGAGAGAGAGAGAGAGAGAGAGAGAGAGAGAGAGAGAGAGAGAGAGAGAGGAGAGAGAGAGGAGAGAGAGAGAGAGAGAGAGAGAGAGAGAGAGAGAGAGAGAGAGAGAGAGAGAGAGAGAGAGAGAGAGAGAGAGAGAGAGAGAGAGAGAGAGAGAGAGAGAGAGAGAGAGAGAGAGAGAGAGAGAGAGAGAGAGAGAGAGAGAGAGAGAGAGAGAGAGAGAGAGAGAGAGAGAGAGAGAGAGAGAGAGAGAGAGAGAGAGAGAGAGAGAGAGAGAGAGAGAGAGAGAGAGAGAGAGAGAGAGAGAGAGAGAGAGAGAGAGAGAGAGAGAGAGAGAGAGAGAGAGAGAGAGAGAGAGAGAGAGAGAGAGAGAGAGAGAGAGAGAGAGAGAGAGAGAGAGAGAGAGAGAGAGAGAGAGAGAGAGAGAGAGAGAGAGAGAGAGAGAGAGAGAGAGAGAGAGAGAGAGAGAGAGAGAGAGAGAGAGAGAGAGAGAGAGAGAGAGAGGAGAGAGAGAGAGAGAGAGAGAGAGAGAGAGAGAGAGAGAGAGAGAGAGAGAGAGAGAGAGAGAGAGAGAGAGAGAGAGAGAGAGAGAGAGAGAGAGAGAGAGAGAGAGAGATGATAAAGAACAAAATAAAACAGCAAAGGCAGTGTAAAAAGATGAGGGGAGGGTCCAGATAGGAAAGGGACACTTGTCACATCGGTGGACACGTTCCACGAACACTGCACCACGCACACCCAGTGAGCCATGACAGCACCGAGACCAGGCTAACTAGCTCCGATCGATCGTCGGCGCGGTTTCCGGAAGACCCAGACACAGAAGTTACCGCCCCTTCTGATACGAACAGCCATCGACCAGTGGGTGGTGCGCACATTACCTGCTGTTGCACGAGGAGCCCCTGCTGCTGGAAAAAATTCTGGAACTGGGCCGGGCTGAGGTGTTGCTGGATAAGCTGCTGCATGTGCTGGAGACCCGGGGGCATCATCATAGGAGCGGCGCCTGCGGCCGAGTCATGACTCTTGGTGGTCGGTGATGCGGGCCGCGCCGCCGCCTTGCTTGTGCTGCGGATCACCGAGCTAACCTGCGACAAGGGACACGCGCTGTCATCGCCGACAGTCTCAGACCGACAACAAGGTGCGGTAACCTGTCACAGTCGCTGCCCCCCCCCCCCCCCCGACCTGCAATAAAGGCGCCACGCTGTCATCGCAGGTGCCCGCTGACGCATCCCGCCACTTGGCGACTCCGGCGCAAACAACCGAGCCTCGGCCAGGCAGTACACAACCGCGGCATCAGCCTCGGACGTGGGCTCAATGCAGGCCACTCGACCACACCGGCCTGACTCCCCGGGCCGTCACCACGTGTGCCCGGCTTCGGGCCCGCCCTGCCGTCCGTGGAGGGAGGGGGGGGGGGGAGCATTTGGCGGCCCAGAGTGGCGCGGCCCGCGCCCGGCCGGAGGCCGACCGCGGCTCGTCACCGTCGCGTCTGCCGCGGGCATGTGCCGGCTGTCGTGGACCGCGCCCCGTCGGCGACGCGTCTGACGGGCGTGTCGGCGCGACGGAGCCGACGACGGCCGCGGCTCTGCGGCGTCGGGGCGGACGGGGCGTCGGGATGTGAGCACGAAGGGACGGACTGGGCGGACAGGTATGGAAGCGAAAGCAGGACGAGGGCGGGAGAGAACAGGCCCGGACACAAGAGCTTGGTAAGCGAGGACGCTTCTTTGGATTTTTGCTTTTTTAGATGAATGGGCCAATGGACAAGGACGGATGGTGGCAACAGTAGTCTTGTCACCCGGACCTGAACCTCCGTGGAACCTGTGAACCTGCCTGAACAAGACTGAGCCAAAACATCTTCACGGCGGAGGACGTTGAAAAAGAGAGGCTCCAGTAAAGACCTAACCTCAGTGGCGACCTGGGCAGCTCATGCGTAGACAAACCGTCACATCGGTCCTGCCTCAATTATCCACATTTACGAACGTGCATAGACAAATCAACAAGTAAGGTTCCAAAGGAGTTTGGAATGAACCGAACACGAAGGGCATATGACTCGTCATGCAGTGAGACAAATCCGCGGAAGCTCTTTCACGGGCAGACAATAGTTAACCCACATTTAACCACCAAACGTCCTTCATGCGTCGAGCAGCGTCATAACCCCCTTCTTCATAAACCAAAGAAAGCTCATTCCTTATCTTTGACCTCCCGGTCCAGGCGCATTTCCTACCCGGCCGAGATGCGAAGCTTGTTTACAAGTAAGTCGTCGGTGCTGACAATGTAAGGCATTGCAACGCTTGATGGAATGTTGATGGTCTTGCATGTCCGGCAAAAGGCAGATCTCGATCTCATGTGGAAAGTGTGGCGGTCGATAATGTTGCATTTGACTACAGATCACTTACCAACGACTACTATTCAAATAATATGCCAGTGCGCCACTCCTGCGCGTTCTGTGTCTCCAAGGGGTTGGATCAGCTGCTTCCACCTGCGCCCATATTTGGAACCGAAGACGTTCCCCACTGGCGTGCATCTACGCCGCTTCCTCAGTGGACGGAGCTCACTGGCAAGGCGTAAGGCAAGGAGGAACCGGCCCCTGGGACTCGGAGTCCAGAATCCGAAGCGTTGCTCCCGTCCCCGCCTGCTGCACGCCAGCAGGTCGGACCGGCGTGCAGCTCAGACGTACGCGCCGTAAACATAACCGTATTTCACGATGCTGTATATGCCACATGTCTCGCATGACATGCCACACATAAGCCACATGAGCGCTCTTATCTGCCGGCAGCTCGTCTCATGCGTTGGCGCGCGCGCGCGTGTTATCGCTCCCTCGTCGCGCGTCGGCAGAGTGCAGCCCTGCGGTAGCGGTGAGTCGCGGTCGGTCGCTCCGGCCACGCTCGGCCTTATCGCTTGTTTGGCGCGGTCTCGACCGTTTATTACACAGTCAGATATCCAACGCCACAATGCGCGCATCGGTCATAAACAAATACGGCGGTCGGGCGATAGGGGCTCTGCAGATACGCGCACGGCACGCTGCTCAGGCGGCCACCGTCAGAGGGGGGAGGGGGAGGCAAGGCCTCAGGGGTGACGGGCCAGCCTTTAGGGACGAAGGCATACCAGCCCTCAGCGACGGCTTGCCATCCCTCAGGGGCCGCTGACCAGCCCTCAGAGACGGAGGCAGACCAGCCCTCAGGGGCGGCAGACCAGCCCTCAGGGGCGGCAGGCCAGTCCCGGTGGCAGCAGGCTAGCCCTCAGGGGTGGCTGGCCAGCCCTCCGGGGCGGCCGAGCAGTCGTCACGGCCAGCTGTGGCCCGGCTAAAGCGGCAGCGCGGCCAGACTGATGGCAGATTGATGCAGAGCTCTGCCCTCCTGCGATAATCGATCCGGCGGCCGGAGACCCCGGCGCGGCCGCCGTCGGCACGCTGCTCGGCCGATCCGTCGAGTCCGTTAGCGCGGGCTTAGCGCTGGATCGTCCGAGCGGAGCGTACAACTGACCCCGGCGACCCGGGCCGAGTCTCCGGCCACCGTTGATCTGCCGTAATCCACCCCGGCGCTGCCCGGCTCGGCCGCGGCGTGCACGTGCCGTGTGACACCAGCCGGCACGATCCGCCCAAGGGCCGCAGCCAAGATTCCCCAGAAGCGTGCCACGAACGAGACTAATGCGCCGGGCAGGAAGCATTGAGACCAAGCGTATCTTGCGGAGAGAGCGCGATGACGCGCCCGTGTCGCCCTTCCCCCCCCCCCCCCCCCCCCCCTTCCGCTCGCTCGCCCGAGCGCCGGGACCGAGCCCGCCAGGCAGCGCGTCACACTTGTTTATCGCCGGTCGCCTGTTGACTGAGAGCGGAAATACGCACCGACCTCGTCCGCCGCCAGTAAACAGGCGCGCAGTCAACACACGGAGCGGTGCGCACGCGAGCCACTCGCCCGCGCGCGCGGCGGTCAAGGTCACGGTCGCGCCGGGTCACGCGCTCGGGGGCGGGGCCTCGGGTCACGCGCGCGGGCCCCGTCCTGGGCCAACGGAAGGCGTCTACTCTATCATTTAGACTGGTCTTTGTGGCTGTCTCTCGCTTGGGTCAGCTGGCAATTATAACTCAACGGGGGCGCGGTCTGACACTGATGATGTATGCGTTGAATTCCTTCACATCAGGGCATTGCTGCAAATGTTGTGGTGTTTGCCTCTGTTCAGACACAGACACAAATAAAAAAGTTTTTGCATGTTGTTTACGAGTATAAAATGTCAGCGCAGTGTGTTAACAACTACGGTGAACCATCGACAAACTGTTATAGAATCTCGCGCAACTGAAACAAATGAGTCAATTTTCTGTTTCGTTTGAAGGTCTAACAACGCTTGCAGAGCATGCAAACGTATCACGCGTTCGGCTCACGCGCGAAAGCGTGAAAACATCGAGACAAACAGCTATTTGAAGCTCCAGCGATACGCACTGTTGTTGCCACAGAGTAACTTGACTAGGCCCTGGCCAACACACATCCAGGACACCCACAACGAGGACGGGTCGGACGATAAGCTTACATGCACATGGATGGGGAAACAATGTTAATTAATTCCCTGCGCTAGCCCATCATAAGGATAGCTTGGGAAGAGATGGCTTTTTAAACTGACCGAGCGCCTTGCGGTGCAAAGGGTTCTCAGGAGATCTATCGCGTTTTTTCGCTCTGTATTTGCACATTTTTTATTTACGGGTTCAAAGGGACAGTAGTAATGTTGAATGTTTGGGAGGGTGTTGCATTTGCCTGGTCACACAGCGGCTCAATGTTTATAGAAGTTTGACTATAGCTGCATACTCCCGGGAAAAGCGACAGCATGATTTCGGAAAATCCCATCAATAATGTTCGGGTTTTGTGCACTCATTTCTGCCACAAAAGCAAAGGGTGGGCGCTATGTAAGTTCAGTTCTGCCGATATTTGTATTTGTGACAGACATTGCCACATGTTGCCAGAATACCGTGCCGAAAACGTGCTGTAAGGGTTTTGGCGGAATTGTCACGACGCTGCGTGTCTGTATGTTAACTAGCGAAGAACCGAGCAGAAAGATGTGTTAAAAGGGAAGCATTACGATAAAAAATGCCAGGAAATGATCCTGATTTTTCAAAACATTCTCTGCCACGCAAAAAATACTATAATGGATGGGGAGGGGGGGGGGAATTGCCATGCATTGATAGGTTTTCACGCACTTTTTTCTATATGTATGTTTGCTGTATGTCAACTAGCGAAGAACTGAGCAGAAAGATGCGTTAAAAGGGAAGCATTACGATGAAAAATGCCAGGAGATGATCATGATTTTTCAAAACATTCTCTGTCACGCAAAAAATACTATAATGGATGGGAGGGGGCGGAATTGCCATGCATTGGTAGGTTTTCACGCACCACGTTAAATTCATTTTCATAAATGTATACCATGTGAAACAGGAAGCCTCTTTCACCTTCGCACTGCATAAATCGTGGCTTCAGGCAGTGAGGCGTTTCGCCATAAGTTACGGTAATTATAATACTGAAAGTCCCCAGGCAAAGCAGCACTCATCTGGCCGAGCTGCAAGATGATTTTCACTGTACGCCGATGGAAAGTGAGGTGCAGGCAACCGACCCCGATACGCCAGCGTTCCGGGATGCGTCCCGGGGTCTTAAGGTAACTCGAGACTGTCATGCACGGTCGGCAGTCACGCAAAGATAGAGCCGGGGCGTCGACACTGGTGCCAGCAGCCCTGGGTGGTCCTTAGCCCCACCCCCTCCCCCTTGCCCAGACCTCCGAATGAGATTGCGTGTACTCACCGTCTGCAAACCGCACTGTGTACACACTGCCAGGCCATGGCTGGTGAGACAAGAAATGGCAGCACCGGTGGGCCGAGCATCCCCAGTAAGGTGCAATTCAAGTCTGTATGCGGAAAGTGTACATGGCTCCTTCGTGGTAACACTTAATTATCATTTGTTCAGTGGCCCGGTCTGCAATTCCTCACTTCATTCGATAGCAAATCACTTCTTGGGACAAATGAACTGAACGAAAACCAAATTTCACGACTGGAAAAAGCGTTTCGCATTGAGTCTCACTCCATCATCAGATCATTCTGATCTTAACCCCGCCAAAC